AGATTTTGATGGCATTTTGTTTTCCCCCCCTCGCTTTAATACTAAATTGCGACATGTGCGTAACATTATAACTTTAATTATGAAAAAAATTCTGAAAATATATGTTAAGGACTGTGTTTACGGAATACCTTGCATATTATTCCATTAAATTGTTACTTCGGAAGGGTTTGTTACTTTTATTATTATTATTTAACAGTAATCAAATGAAATAGACGTTAATGTGATTTGCGGATGATAATTTTTTAATAGAGCATCCACAGTATTTCGCATAAAATTATTTTACAAAATAGGGAATATAGGATGTTTTCTTTCTTTTATTTGTTCGTCTGGAATATCGGCAAGCTATTATATTTATGAATACAACTACTTTTTAATTCTAAATAATAAAGTGAAATGCCTATCAATTTTTTGGGAGATGATTTTTCTTTTTCACGTGTCAACTTCGTCCGGTATTCTGCAGTTGTGAAAATACGATTTAAAACAAAGAGAAATTGTTTTTTCAACGCGCATTCTTCTGATGAAATTATCAGTGCTGCACATTTTTAATTACGCAGACATTAACTAATAAAAAATTTTCTTAAAAATTTTTTTTTTTAAAAAATTCAGTACTAGAGGCATTCTCAAATTTTTACAAAACTTACTGGATGTTCAATTAAAGACACCTATTAACAGAGAGCAAAAAAATAATATTTAATGACGAATGCTGAGTTTTTATTATGTTGGGTTATAAAAAGTATTTAATAAAATTTTGAAGGCCAGAAATTTTTTTATCACACTTCGCAAAATTTGTGCTTAAAACTAGGGTGAAGAAAAAAAAGCGTCATTTTTCTAATAACGCTAATAGCCTTCAAATGCTCCAAACTAAAAAATTTAAAATAAAGGATGCATTTAGGAAAGCATTTAAAATAAATTAAAATAATTTTTTTTTACATTTTGGATGTAAAAAAAAATATTTTTAGCTTTAGGGCAATGAATAACCATATTAATTAGGGGTTATAATTTTCATAAAATTTGAGAAAATTGCACTTAAACTTTGTCATTAGTTTAACGAACTTTTTCTGAAAATAAGGCAAAAAAATATCCAGTCGTCGTCATCAAATTTTAAGACATTTGCTAAATAACATTGACGAAGCAATTAAAATGTAATGAAAGGAGCATATAATTTAATATAGTCTTCAGCAATATTGGCTCAACAGCCCTTAGCTCCAAATACATGTCTTCAATTGACGTCCCATACATGTACACCAATGCTGGGTAATACGTATTTATTTTGAATAAGAGAGAAGGGGGGGGATTACACTGATACTGATCATAAACCTGATTCTTGCTAGTCTTTAATAAATTGATTATACTGGAATTGGCCATAGATTTTGATGAGACTTTTCCATCAATGATTTTTTCTTCATGATTTATAGTTTTTGTTTAGTTCTTCATTCACACAACCGCAGATACTAATTAATATTTGCTTGTTTTTTAACAATTGAATAATTAAACCCCATTTGCTGTACAATAATTTATCATTATTAAAAAATGTCATTACAGATTAATCTATATTTAAATCGTATTTTCATTTATTTGAAATAACACTGATGACTGATGCATCTTTTTTTGCTCAACATGCCTTATCTGAAACCGAATCTAAATATTCTGTGAGTGTACAAGTCTAAGCAGTGTAATACTTATGATTTCATGCTTTGCGTGATTTACCATTTTGTATATTACCTAGTGTACCATTTTGTATATCAAGATATAAATATTTTAAGTGTATATAAAGTTATCCCATTAAACAGAAATTTATAATTTGTGTGTTTTTCTTTAAAATATTTATTGCAAAGTGTTTGTATTATTCAAATTTTGCTCAACCTTTATTAAGTCGTAATGCAGAAAATGCTTACATACATGTTCTGCAGGCACCTAATATAAAATCCAACTCTTTGCGTACTGTTGATTTGTACATTTTTCAACACTTTGCAATACGCCTACAAGGCTCACCGCAATAAGCCTAATAAATGACATCAACCATTTGCAAAGGTCTGAATTTTCATTTTGCAAATGCCTACGACATACACTATCCTACAATAATTGGCGAGACACTTCCAGTTTAAATTTCTTAAATACTTCGAGGATTATTTCATAACTTTAGAACTTTTTAGGTCACTTGATTTCTCATACTTATCAATAAAGTTTTCATAGGTTTGACAGACCAGCAATAAATTACGAAAGAAGAAAAGTATTTTTGAACACCCTGTGTCAGAAAATATAGCAATAAACTTGTAACTTGTAGAGATTACTGTGGTTGTAGAAAAAGAGTTCGGTTTTGCACAATTTTCAACAATTGCATTAAATTTTGTAAGTCTATTTTAAATATTTTTACAGATACGGACATTTTTATGAAACACTTTTTTTTTCTATGAACGATTACTATGAAAACTATTTTAAATCCTTATATCTTGCACAATTTTCAACAATTGCAATAATTGCATGAAATTTCGTAAATCTATTTTAAAAATTTTTTCATATGCTGACGTTTTTATAAAAACACTTTTTTTTCTATTACTTTTAAAAATATTCAATAAAATTAAACAAAATTTTTGGAGCAATTTTTAATTAATAAAAAAATTATCATTTTAAAATTTGCAAAATAATTCGTTAAAAAGTGCGCAAGAAATGAACTATTAAAGTAATTCTTTCATACTGCTTATTCGCAGAAAACATTTAATTATTTTTTTTTAATACAATTTTGTTGTGAATCGTATTTAGTAACTTAAGAAAAAAAGTCCGATTTGAATAACCTGAAAATTTCAAAAGTTTAAAGTAATTTTCTTAGTAGTATTTTCAAGTAGTATTTGCTCTTAAAAAAAATATTAAACAATATTTTATTAAAAATGACACCGGCATTATGGGGTATCATCCCCTATAAATGTATGTTTTCGTTCCTTATACCATCACAGTTTGGTGTGGGTGACAAGTAACATCTATCATTAACTTTTGTCATATTGCACAAAATAAAATTTATGGAAAATCCTTTACCATTCCGAGCTATCTTCTAAAATTGAAAAAAACTAAGTAAAAAAAATTGCTTGAAACTTTTTAAATGTTCCAAGATAATCAAATCGGACTTTTTTCATAAGTTACCGAATATGATTCACTACACACTGTTTCTGCACATGCACACTTTGAAAACTATTTTAAATGCTCATATTTTGCACAATTTTCAACAATTTTTTTTAAATATTTAAGTGACAATTTAATTAAAAGTTGCTCGAAAAATGTTGTTTTATTTTATTAAATATTTTTAAAGTTATAGCAAAAAAATAAGACAGTAAGTTTTTTTCTTCATAATTATAATTTTTTTTTATGTGTCCATATTTCCATAAATATTTAAGCTAGGTTTATGCAATTATTGCATATAATAACTAAAGTAATTGATATAAGTTACAAGTTTATTACTATATTTTCTGACATAGGTTGTTCAGAAACACTTTTTTTTTTCGTATTTTATTACCGGTCCCTCAAACCTCTGAAAACTTTAAACTTTATTGATAAATATGAGAAATTGTATGATCTTAACACCTCTAGAGTTATAAAATAATCCTCTAACTATTTATTGAGAAATTTTTAAAGATATCAAAAACTGAGAGTGTGTTTTCAATTATTGGAGTGTAATATATCTAGATGCTATTTAAAAAATAACATTGAATGTGAACTTTTTAAAATGAAAATACGATAGGAAGTTATATTGAGAACTCTAGTGACTAATTTTGTAAAGTCTTATATTTAATATGTGATACTATTCCCATCTGCAAAGTAACCCTTTTGCACAAAGTTTCCAAAGCTATTTATGAAGTTCTAGGTAGTCCCTGCAGTACACTACTGACTACTGTTCAAAAGCTAGTCTCAGAAGTATTTTTAAAGCAACATTCATTTTTGAAAGGTCCCCCGCCGAAAAGAAATCTTTTTTAATATGATCATAGCATGTTTTTAGCATTTCTATTTAAAACTTAGAAACCCTTTTAGAAAATATTGTAATATGAAAAACAAAAAAAAGGAGTTTTTATTTTCTTGAGCCGTAAGACATATAATTTATGATTTTTTTCAAAAATCTCACAACTTATAGAAAAAAAAATCTATTTTATACGAAGAAATATAATTTGAACTCTAGGTAGTACTTTCAGTTTATAATTTCTTAAATTCTGAAAAAAAGTCATTAGCGTAATGTTATAAAACATAAAATTTTGAATATCGAATGTTTTTTGACTAAGTATTTACGTGCAGTATTTTAAATATTTTTCCTTGAAGTTATTTTCTTCAAAGAAAAATATTTAAAATAATACCAACTACTTATGGTTCTTCAAACTTGGCATTGGAAAATCGTTATTTAGTTATAAAACATGTTTTCGCTGTTCCTCATTTACCGAACTTGATTTCTGCGAATCCTTTCATATTTTTAAAAATTTTGTATAATTTAATTTATGATCTTTCTATTATCCCGCCATTTCCCAATGTTTGGAAATCAATTCTATTTTAATCTTTTGCACCTTAAGGTTCACTCACTCCTATTTCTTATCTCATTTTTTTTTTTATTATCTTTCAATTTCTTTTTTTCTCCCCGGTAGTTAAATCACATGTTGGTCTCTGTTACTTCTCTAATATCATTTGGTTTTTAGACACTGAGCTCTTGTTCATAGAACCGAAACTATTGCATGTCCATTTCTGTATTTCAATTTGTGTTTTATTTACGTTGTTTTCTTTGCTTTAATCTACACAGCACAAAATATATTCTATCTTATATACCCTATCCTTTTTTGCTTAAAATTTTGTTCACCCAAAAAATCTTTTGATGTGCTCACTAACAAATTACCGACTTTTTGAAAATAAATGTTGTTAAGAAAGCATGTTCACGAACTTTTGATGTTAGTATAACTAATTGCAACATTAGTTAATATTAATGGCACCATTTTAACTATTTGGTAATAACTCAAATTTTTAATTCTTTTCAGATATACCTGAGCCTGCTGGCATGCCTTTAATTATGGGTTTCACATCTCGTTCTGTTAATTTATCATGGGCGCCAAGTACCAATAATCATAATAGTCCAATATTACATTACATCATTCATGTTAGGTAAGTTTATGTATTTTTTTTTTACTGAATGTATTTTTCAAAGTTTTCTATAATATGGCTACAGCTATTCGCGATCGCAACACTCGAATACGCCACCTGGGGAGAAGACCTGTTCCATGTCTTGACCTTCCCTTCCCCCTTTCCCTCTCCTCCTTTTTTCAAAGAATGTACTGTGATATTTTCCCCTTTCTTAATATTTTTCATATTTAATTGTGAAAAGTACTTTTAGAAATTTCCATGACGTTTTTCTTTAGAACTATGTTCAATGTAGTTTTTAGTACCATATAGTATCATAAGTTATAAGTTTTTTATCTATTTAAAAATCAAGAAAGAAACTAACGTACTTCCTTTATCTATGACTCTCCAAACGCTGATGGGGAAAGCATGCGAATTGCTGCCATAGTTAGAGAGTTCTGTTGTACACCACCTGTAGCCCATTTTGATCGACAATAATATTACAGGGTAACAAGAAATTAATTTGTGAGGAAAAAGCAGAAAAAATTGTCCTAATTTCGTGGATATAAAATTTGATTCAAACGGAAACGTTTTTCATCAGAGAGGCCGCACCATCGGATACGACGTGCAAAATTTTACTGTGTGAACGATCGCGGAGTTAACGCACCTGTTACAAATAACAAGTTATATACTAAATAAATAATTAAAAGTTTAAAAATCATTAAAATAGTTATTAAATATACAATAAATTAATATACATGCTCTTACTTAAAATCAGAAATTATGTATTTTGATAATTCTTATAACTTTTCAAATGTACACAAAATTGTACCATGTACAATTGTGCACAATTCAAATGCAACACAATCGCAAGCACTTTACGTTAATAAATACTAATTCAAAATACTTGAATTGTATGTAAATCAAGTGATAAGAACCTAAATATAAATAAAATAAGTTATCAAAATATACAATTAATTAATAAAAAGAATTTTACTAGGTGCGAAATTGTATCATGTGAACAAACAAGATCGCATCTCACTGCTTTATTGTAATTCGATTTGAAATACTTAAATATTATAAATTAAATAATTAAACAGCTAAAAACCTTACAATAATTAAAAAAAAAGTAATTAAATAAAATAAAATCAATCTTGTTTTGGCGCAAAATTTTTCTGCACAGTACAATCACTAACTCTTCCCGGTATCTTTTTACTAATTTTATATTTCTAAAATTTTAACCTATCAAATGACAAAAAGCTAAATACCTTCAAAATAATTTTTAAAAAATAGATGTAAAGAAAATAAACATTTTGCACAAAATTAAAACATAAATTGACTGTGAACACATTATTTCTTTTATAATAAATTTATAATATGCCAGTTATAAATAAATGAAAAGATTACAGCTAAAATTTTTTAAAAGAAACGATATATATAGAATTAATAAAGAAGTTCATGCATTTTTATTGATTTGAAAGCATTATTGAAAATTAGATAGCAATTTTTCATAAATACATGTGCTCTTCATAATTTATTCAATAAACTGTAATTAAAAAAATGTATTTCTTTAAAAAAAAAAAATTGCCATTTCTTTTTAATTGTTATTTAATAATTTTGTAAAGGCCACCTAAATAAAAGTAAATGATTATTTATCGGATCTAAATGCAATTTCAGCTTTCAAAAATGTTTTTAAAAAAAACTGTTTTCAAAAAGTTAACTTCTAAACTTTTCCCCGCAATCCTAAGGATCCTAAGAAACACTATTTGGGGAACTGCTGGTCTGGATTCAGATAAATTCTGGTATTACATTATTATATTTAACTCTTGATCAACTAATTAAACATAGTTTCACACGCATATCCTGAATATTTTACAAGACTTATATATTGAATGATTTAAAGGATTATAACGAAGCAAGCAATTTTTTTTTCAATACGAAGCAACATTAATAAGTAAGATTCCCTTTACTCATCATGTTTACTTGCCTGATAATAAGCATGCAAAATAATTTTATTAAATAAATATAACTGAAAATATATGAAAAACTCATAGTATTTATGAATAAAATTCAAAACATTCTGCAACTTGCCAGGAAAAGTATTGACACAACTTTTTAGGGAGTGTTACCATTCCTTAAAAACTTCTATTTATGTTATAAGTTAATGACGATTTCGTTTGTAAGGGATAAAAAAAATGATAAAAATATTTTCAATACACAGTAAAGCTTGATTAGATTAGCTTATTTTTATGATCACATAAACGTAAACTAAAGAATCTTAGCTTATACGAGAAAAAAAATTAAAGAAAGAATGTAATGAATCAAGCTTTTCATAAGCAGCTTAAAATATAAAATTATTATTTTTTATTTTTTATTCTCTCCATTTCTTTTTAATGTTATAATGAAACATTTAAAATTTAAAAAAATTCAATTTGAAATAAAACAATGTTAAAAGCTCCTGAAAATTTTGACCGGATATCATGTTGCAGATTAAGTCTACAACATGGACTTTCAGATGATCAAATATATAAAACATTGAAAAAAATAAAATATTCAAATTATTGACCGAAAACATAATTATGTTCATACTTATTAATAGTAAAATAGTTTCTTAAGCACCCCAGAAAAACAATAAATGCCTTTTAAACTTTGCAGAAAATACATTCAACTTCTTGCTATCGCTTACCGGTGTCTATCGTCCTATGTCTCAGGCTAAGTAACCAACAGTTTTATCCATTTAAAAAGTTTATTTCACAAACGAGTTTGGCTCTCATATGGAAGGTAGATGGATTCAAAAGGATTTCGTGAAAAAAATATTGCCATATTTATCGTTTACAAGTAATTATTAAAAGATATTAAATTTTGACTCTGTCTTTTTCGACAAACATGAATTATTATATTTGAAAATTTTTCGCCAATTTTATCACTAAATTAGCTTGTTGTGAGATAAATTAACTAACAGGAATAAATTGTATGAAATTAAATTATCGATGGTCATACAATATTACATTCAGGATGTCACAAATGTTTCGATATCATTTAGTGTTTACAATGCAGATGAATATCTAACAATATCCCTGTGCTACTTGGGTAGTGGTATTTATTTTATAATTATGAGAATATGATTTTAAATTATGCTTAACAGGGCATTGGGATCAAACTTTTTCATGTCCGAAGTATTTCATGTGTCCTGATCAAAAATTTAATTATTATAATTTACTTAAATTAAATTTTAATAATATGCTCAAATTCCTATGAAAATCAAAGTAAGCTAAAATGTTTTTTTCCTCATAAATGCTAATATAAAATTTCTTTTTCAGAGTTGGTGAAATGGGTGAATGGGAAAGTGCTATGGGTGTTATGACTCCTGATAATAAAACTGCTTACCATGTCATAGGCTTGCAGCCATACACTGTTTATTCATTTCGAGTCATTGCAGTAAATGCAATTGGTGCAAGTGAACCGAGCAAAGAATCATATTATATGGTTACTCTGAGAGAAGGTATTGTACTTTTTAACTGCATCCTTTTTAATTTGCGATATAATTGATATCATTTGTAAAAATACAGTGTGGGGCGTATAACATAATCATCAGCTCTTGCAGAAAATATAAATTTAATTTAATTCACAGTTGAGTTATTTTTTCATTCTTAAGAAAATAATTGAATCTAATAAATCCTCCTTCATATTTGAAATCACTGTAAATGTATTTTAATGTCGAGAATAGTTTTTCTATCACAACTTGGCCTATGAGCAATGACGATACAATGCAGCACGCCTCTTGAATGTCTGTCAGATATAGTAAAATTGCTGGAGCAGAGGAACATTTAGAACTTCAGCTCAGCCCCAGCTCCCGGAAAAATAGTTACAGATTGCTCTGGTTCTGGGCTCTAGCTCCAGCCCCCTGGAGAAAACCGTGCATAATTTGAATCTAAAATCTAACATGTTTTTCTGAAGTCAACTTTTTATAAATCTTTTCTGAAATATTTTAAAGAAACATTCCATTGTATTCAAGCTTTTAAAATAGTGCATATACCATATATTTTTTAGTTTTTGTAAATTAAAATTTGTCATAATTTTCTGATATTAGCCATATGGCATTTTCTTTGCCTACCCTGCTGAAAACAATTAATTTATGAATTTTAAATTTTGCCATTATAATTTTTAATTTATGTATTTTGAATTATTTTCATTCTGTAAGTATCTTTTCATCAATGCAAAATGATTGTTCAATTTAAATTTTTTTATTAGTTACTTTATAATTAGTTTATTACTTTATTTGTGACACGGTGTTTCATAATGACCACCCTTATATATGTATTAAGAATATTTACAAAAAATGAACTAGTTTTAAACTATGCACATTTTCAAACTGTGATCTATCCTTATTGATATTAATAAGAGCAAAGGAGTTATGAAAATTCTCTAAAACTAGTTCATTTGAGGATGAAGTTTTGCAGTGATCCCTGGAGAATGACACAATCATTTCAGTCTCACTAAATGATTGAGCTGTTTTTTTTTGTAGTGTTTTAATTCCTCCTTTTCTCCTCCTAACCTCAATAATGATTGCTCAAAGTTAGAAAAAAAAAATTTTTTTTTTGCACTTGAATATCAATTTTAAACATGCATAGTTGTTTGACTTACTTTTTCATAAGAATTCTAAAAATATATATTAAAGGCAGCAATTACATAACAGCCTGTATAATTTTGTAGGTAAACATTTTCAGACTGGATTGTTTAACTATTTTCCTGTTCATTAATTCATAAGTTTTATTGTTGATTTTTAGTTCCTGATGGTAAACCAACAATAACTGGAGCTTTTAACACAAGTAGCACATCCATACGTCTTGAATGGACTCCACCTCCTGAAAGAACTATTCATGGTGAATTTTTGGGATACAGAATAACTTACAGGCCTCGAGATCGTCCAGAAGAAGAAAGAGAAATTATTCTCAGGGATCCAAATTTAAGAGTAGGCTAATTAATAGTATTTAAAATATTCCGTTATTTGTCAAAATTAAAGTATTTGAAAATTTCGATGAGTCTTTTAATTTTTTTAAATTTACTTTTTTAATTAATAATTTGCGCTCATAGGTATGGGTGCCAAAGATAAAGAAAAATGGGTCAATAAGCTTAATGCTTATTAAAGCAACAATCATTAATAAGTTACACATAGGGTAAGTTGGTCTTGTTATAAAAACTTGTCACAAAATGCTAATATAAACTGGCAATTTGATGTTATGCACTGCCTACAACTAACGTGGGTGCTGAAGGATCATTTGACGTAAAAAAGTCTATTAAGTGATGAATGACAAAATATGAACGAGGATGATTTAAAAATTTTCATACAGCATTTTGCACTAAAATTCTGTTCTTTTAAATAAAAATACTAATAGTGAAATAATCCATAATGAATAAAATAAAAAAACCAGTAATGGAAAAACTTTTTTCAGCTCTCTTAGTTGTTTTATTTTTATTATTTGTACTATGTCTATGTCTTTCAGTGCATAGATTGCATAATTTTATGTATTTGTGTTCTCATTAAACTTTTATATTATTTTGCAAATTAATCTTTTCCCCCCAACAAACTTTCCCTACTAATAATAACCCTAAAGTCAATTTATCATGTTATTTAAAAAGGAAAAAAATATAAAAGTTTTTCTTTCTTTTGTAATTAATGATGTTTTAAAATCAAGTTAGTTCCAGCAAGGATTTTAATTTAGCATTCTTAAAGGCAAAACCAGAAAAAGCTGTATTTCTTTTTAATCTAAAAAATGTTTTGAGTTTGTTAATTACTAGATTTTAGATTCCATAGTTTTTGATTTTGATTTTAATTTAAGATTTTTTCATTATATTAATGAAATTAACTTACGTATTAGCAATAAAAATTGGATTCTTACTATACTATTGTTTTAACTGGTTTTTAAATTTAATATATTTAAAAGTTTGCTTAAATACTGATAAGGTTAATGTCTTATAGCAATACACCATACGGAATTTAGATATTTTCACTCAATATCTAATATCAGTTCAAGTTTTTAACCCTGCTGGCCATGGCCCTGCTGCAACTGTTGCTGTTATGACAGATGAAGGAAGTATGTTTATTATTTTAAATTATATGAATTTTTGATGTACTATTTTCGTTTTAACTGTTCATGCTGTATATTACTTACTACATGCGCCTAATTCATGATTTTTTGTAGCTCCATCAAAAACTCTGAACTTATCAATAGAAAAGGTTGGAGACAGCTCTGTGAGACTGAGTTGGCAGGAGCCAGAATTTCCAAATGGCATTATACAAGGGTATAGAGTTTATTTTCAACACACCGCTCTAAATCATACAGAAATGCGTCGAACTCAAAATCCACAGCCTATTATGGATTTCTTACTTCAAAATTTAAGTAAGTATGACTAATAATTTTTTTTAAACAAATCACTCTGTTTTGAATACAAACTCTTTAAAATGAAAACCAATTACCTAGTTTCTTTGTATAATTTATGCTTTTAAACTTTTCATAATTTTATATTCAGGTTTTTACACTTAAGTTTGCTTACTTTCAATTTTAGTTAGCTAATGTATAATTCATATTAGGATGATGGATTATTAAATTTTTGGAATTTGCAGTAAGATATTTAATTTTTAATAGATTTTATTAAAAATTAAACAAGCTGCAAAATTCTTATTGACTATATTTTTTTTTATTTCCACAGGAAAAAAAATCACATTTTGAGAGATTTTAGTATTTTTTAAAGCTTAAAGCATTAAAAAATTAGCATTATTTTGTTGATTTTTTTTCTTCATGAGAAACTGCAAAACCGAAAACTATCATACTTAAGTAAATTTCCTTCTGTAGATACAGTCTTATCTCGCTAACTCCAAATTTGGTTTCACAAATTATTTGATAATTTGAAGAAAAAATTTTTTTCTTCAAATTTAGTGTTAAAAAACCCCCACATTTTGATTAATTTTTTTCCTTTTTTGCTTTTCCCTTTATAACTTGAATTTTTTCTCCCAAATACAATAACAAAAGTTTCTTGACGTAAAAAAAAATCTATAGACAGAAATTAAGAAGAAATAAAAAACCTATGGTGAAGCTTTGACCAAACAGAAAATGAAGGTATGAACATGAATGATTTGCTTTAAATTGATTGATTAAATGTTTGTTTAATGGAATTGATCCTGGGTGACTTTGAAAAAGAATGTAGCATTTCTTATCACCCTAACTATTGCAACAAGAATGAAAGAAACTGTGCATGAAAGCCTTCCTGTCTCACAATCAAGCTATCTAGTGCTACTTCCAAAAAAGTTCAAAGTCATTTTGAACAGCAGAGTTATCTGTTAAAAATGGCTTAGAAATGAAAAATAAGTACTCTTAAACCTAAATAAGTTCTTCTCTTTTTAAATAATACTTTTTAGCACATGGTGTTTATTACAATAAAAAAATAAATGACTCATTAAAGAAGCATTGGGATACTGTTTTTTTCTTTAATTTACTGTTACAACGCATTATTTTTGATAACTCGAATTTTCGACTTTTCATATTTTTTCTTTCTCTTCCAGTTTGAAATACCAAGGTTTGACTGTATTACCGATTCTTTTCGCTCTAAATTTTAGTATTTGAATGTAGAATAATATTCTGTCCATAAAATTTCAGCTTTCATATTTCATAAATATATTATTTAATATAATGTATTTTGTATCACATAAATTCTTTATTGTTTGGGAAATGTACGAGGGTTGTCCATAAAATAAGGTTTCCAAGGAGGTGCGAACGCTAGGAACGCTGTTAGGTGGGATTTAGCGAGACTAACGTGTAGCTTGGCTCTCTTTCTCCCACTTCCCGCCCCGACGAGCTGTCAACAATGTTCATTCTTGTCTTGGTAGCTGTGAAAGATGGAGTTTCCGTTTGTTTCTCATGCCAGGTGCGAATTATGCTCTGTGATTCGTTTTGTGTGTGCAAAAAACATTCCTCTGGTGGACATTTTTTCCCAACTGTGTGAGTGTGCAAATGGCGCAGAGAATTCAAAGACAGATGTACAGACATCCATGACGAACAACGTTCTGGCCGGCCATCGTTTTCGGGCGAAGCAATTGCGAAAGTGGAAGAAGCAATGCTGAAAGATCGAAGAGTGACGGTAAGGGACTTCAGCGAGATGATCCCTGATGTAAGCAAGTCCTGCATTCACAACATTTTGAGAGACCGCTTAGTATATGCCAAGGTTTGTGCAAGTTGGATCTTAAAAATGTAGACGGGTGACAACAAACGGCAACGTGTGGAAGCGGCCCGCAAATCTCTTTATGCCTACAAAACCGATGGCTAAGAATTTTTGAACTCTGTTGTCACTGGGGACGTGACCTGGGTCCACTACATGACACCGGAAATAAAAGAACAATCCCTTCAGTGGAAACATCCAGGCTCGCCGAAGCCGAAGAGGTTTAAGCAAATTCTGTCTGCCGGCAAAGTGATGGCGAGTGTCTTTTGGGACAGAAAAGGGTTGTTGTGCGAATTCCTGCCTACTGGCACAACAATTAATGCGGATTGCTACTGTCAGACGTTGAAGAACCTTCGGTGCGCGATTCAAAACAAGAGGAGAGGCATGCTCACAAATGGAGTGCGTCTCCATCAGGACAACGCTCGTCCGCACACCGCCCGTGTCACAACTGATCTCATCAACAGATTCGAATGGAATATTGTCACACCCCCCTCACAGCCCAGTGATTACCATCTCTTCCCTGAATTAAAGAAACATTTGGGAGGGACACATTTCACAACCGACGAAGAGCTGAAAGAAGAGGTTTTAAGCTATCTTCGTGGCGCGGTGGCAGAGTTCTACGACTCAGGCATAAGGAAGATGGTACACTGCATGCAAAAATGCATCGATCTAAACGGCGATTATGTCGAAAAATAGAGGGAAGTCTAAGCTTTCCAAACATGTATTATTCAATGCCAATAAACATATTTTTCATTGTGAAAATTCCTTAGGAACTTTATTTTATGGACAAGCCTCGTATTTTAAATATGAAAAGTTATTAATGAATCAAGCACTTTAAATTTAAGATATTTTGAAAAGTAAAGTTAATAAATTTTTGTGCAGTAAAGACTCAAATAATCATAATTATTTATATTTTTTATAAAATAATGCTTATTGCATAAAATCTGAGTTGTCATAGTTTTTGAGAACTTCACACAATCAATTCTATCTTGTATTTTGTTTTTTAGTTTTACTTTATTTCACTGCCTCCATGTGAGCTGTAAGCTTGATTAAAAATAATTGTTAATAATAATTACAGAGACGCATTGCCTTGTTTTACCCTTCAACTGTTTTCTTATTTATTTTAATTTTTCTTTTACTGATAAAGGTAATACACCTCTAAATTAAATTATTGAATTTTCATATTGCTGTGAAAAATATTTCAGAAATAGTAATGTATTATAAAGTTTTAAATTCAATTCCTTTATTTATGTTTATTTATATCTAAGAAAATAATTATATAGCTTTTGAACCATTTAATGAAAGTCAACATTATAGTCTATATTCACATTTCTATTTTTTTCTAAGGTTGTTCATTGCATTATAAATACACATTAAATATAAAGACTATGGCAACATATTTTATAATTTAAAATATTTAAAAATCTGTTATATTGTGATTAGCTTGATATTATTTTTTAGTTCATATTGTAAGTTAGACAAGAAATTAAGTGTGTTTGGCTCTGTATCTTTTCAAGTTTTGGACTAGTTATTTGTACTAGTATAAAATTTTTCATGAAATTTGTATTCATATTTTTCATGCAATTTATTGCTTTCCATTTTTTTACTGGGCATTACTGTAATATGCTGTCTATTTATTAAACACAAACTAGGCTCTCCTGTTCATCACTCTGAATATTTCTCTTAAGAGGTGTAAATGAGTTTGTTTAACTTTTGTTTTGAAGGATAGTATAATTCAATTAGTTTATTGATATTTTCATCTGCAAAATATTATGTAAAACAATATATGATTTTATTATTATTTCTTTTTTCAAAATGTATATATATGTTAATTATTCACCAGTACATAAAATAATGTTATTCTGTTTATTGCATTTAATAAGTGTATTCATTTTAAATATTTTCCAGCTGTTATTGTTTAAGTTGGAATTCATCCTATGTTTTTTTAATTTTTTTTTAGAACCTTTTAGCCATTATAAAATATGGGTGAATGCATATACTGGTAAACATGAAGGAGAATCTAGTAAGGTTCTGGAATTTCATACTGATGTTCAAGGTAATAAATTTGCATTCAAATAGCTAAGAAAGCAAAATCTGCAAACTGTGCAGTTGGGAAAAATGGTTACATTGTCTTTTATTTCTTAACTTTTTGCTCACCTTCAAATGAACATTACTTAAAAATATCATTATCTTAATGTTTGAATTTTGTTAAAAAAAATCTTGTTAAAATGCTTAGTGGAGTTTATTGCATTTCTTCTTTTCCCATCTTTAATATATAGAGCAGTTGGCTGGTTTTGCACACAGGTCTCTTTTTTGTTATTCATTATTTAAATTGAAATAAATTTTGCCTTTTAAATTATTATTTTGTTTTTTAAGGACCCAGTGCACCCATTATTTTGAATTTAACATGTCAAGCTCTTGACAGCATATTTGTGCAGTGGGAACGTCCTCAAGTTTTTTTCAACCGCATAGACTACTATTTTGTTCATTACCGTTCTGAAAATAATTGGGATTTTGAAGAAATTGCCATGGCTTCACCTCAGGAAAGAGCTATTGATCATGGAGTATGTTAATTATTCATGTTTGTTTTCTTCATTTTTTATGTCTTGATAAGTCAAGCAAGTGATTGGTAAATAAATTAAGCACTTAATAACATATGGTAAGGAATACTGGAGAATACCAACTAATTCCTACCTCAAACTCATTTCAGAGTGGTAGTTAAAGAGTTAATAATTATATTTTAATTTCCTTTTAGTATGTAACTGTTTTATTTCTATAAATGTTTAAAATACTATTAACATGATTTTTTTAGCTGAACTTATGTAATTACAGCCGGCTTACTCGTAGGTATTAAATAGATAACTAAATCTTTTTAGATAACGTCTTTTTAGTTGGTATGAATTTAGTTTAATTAAAAGAAAAGTAGGCAGAACAGTTTTCTAAAAACAAAAACTGTGCCCCACATGCTACGCCTATGATTCAACACATAGATAATCTATAGATCACTAAATATTTTTAGACAACGGTGTTTTTATTTGGCATGAATTTAATTTAATTAAAATGAAGAGATGCTAGAATTCAATGCAAAAGTGTAGAATTTAACCAACTTCTTCAATTAGAAGAAACAATTCTATAATTTTTATTTCATTTAGTAGGATTCAAATAATAATGATGGCAAAGTTTTAAGTAAAACCTGAGTTTGCATATTCATTATTTTTGTGTAAATGAGCAAAATTTGTGTTATTAAGTGCTGTAATCTTCTAGTTGGTTGATAGTTATACATTTACAAAATATAGAAAGGAAAAATTATACAAAAAACTAAGTAAAATATGATTGTATAGCAAAACGAAACTATCTTTCATATTCTATATTATTATAAAATAAAATTTCCATTGTTGAAACATTAAAATAATTAATTGAATAATATCAATCCTCAGCAGTGTTCGGTGCTATAACTTTAAATTTTATCTAGTTTGCTTTCCTGTAGCATAAACTAGTGATTTAGTAAGAGTATTCTCTCTCACTAAATCACCAGTTTTACAATTTTAGCAATTAATCGTGCAATTTTATTGAGATACTTAATGCTATAAGTTGAAAGATAAAATTGTTTGTCATATCAGTTTATGCTTCGTTGTCTCACAAACTTGTCATATATGATCACAAAAGAAAATATTTACAATTCTGACAATTAATAATATAATGCAATTTTGTCCGGATGCTTAACTCCATGAGGGATGAATATGTTTGTCGTATCAATTGTGTATAAATTATTTATTCTATGTTCGATAACTTGGCACAATCCATTACTTTTCATATATTTTATTAAGTTTTCCTATGATTTTGATTTTTGCTCCTTTACAGATGTTTATACCAAATTTAACTGCCAATACTATGTATGAAGTAAAAGTCCGTGGGGCAACACGTAGTGTAATAGAACATTCTAAACTTTTTAAAGGACAATTTTCTGAGCCTAGAAAAGTACTTCTTCAAAATAAATGCCCAAGTATGTTTGATTCTTATCTCTTTGAACATTATATATTGTAAGCAAAATCTTACTATTTTAATACCTTTCAGCTTTTAATGGTGTTCCATATGGGGATGCTTCTGTAAGTGCTGGAGTTATTGCTGGAGTTATGTGTGCCTCTTTTGCTTTAATTTTATCAATAGTTTCTTTTATATTATGGAGGTATGTTAATTTAGTCAAATGATTATTTTTTTCAATTTGTTTTTAATACTTTGTTCTAGACTGCAAAATTTCAGAACATTCATTAATATATTTATTACAATTTGTGATTCTGTTGGTTGTGAAAAAGTATATAATCAAATAAGATTATTATTTAATATTGTGTAAGATTTACCACTCCTATGTTATTTAAATCTTTTATCAAACAGTAGAACATTTGATTAAAATAATATGTAATAATTTTAAAGTTTTTAATGGTTTTTATTTACAGATAGAAACCGTTTTCTGAGGACAAAAACTTTCTTTATATGCAAAACAATAGAAAATTCCTCAATATAGCTATTTCTTTAAAATCCATAGTTTTTTGAAAACTTCTGAGTTTAAACTTGCAAGGTATACTGACTACGATCATCAAAATTTATAATCTACGAACTATCTTTATGTACTTACAAACATACAATTTATTAAAAGAAAATTAAATAACTTAAAAATAAACTTCACAAACTCTCAAATTAATTGTAGTTTTTATTTTGTGATGATTGATCTATTTTACATGATATATATTTATAAATATTTTCCTCTTCATATTTTCCTGTTTATTAAATCATTGTTTTGTATCTAGAAATTTTTTCAAAGTACTGGAATTAAGATGCATGAAATCTTTTTATTTAGGGAAAAAAAGTACTTTATCCATTTTAATTCCCATTTTACACATGCTGTTTGGTGGGTGGGTAAAGTGAGTTTTTTTTTTTAAATTAAGTTTAAGTAAGTACTACTTAAGCAATTTTAAAAGTAATAACTTTCTTTCAATTTTTGAATATTATATACTCAATCATTTAATAAATGTAATTAAAATATATTAATAGAATTCTATATTTATAAGCTCAATTAAAAATACCATAGCTTATGTAGGGATAGTTTTAAACAACCACAAACTTACTAGGTATTCAAATTTGTTAAAAAATGAATTGGAACATTTTTTAAATGTATTGGCATATTTACTAGTTTTTTTTAAAAAAAAATCTATCATTTAGTATAAAATTACATGAGTAACCTTTTGTGATGAAATTAAATTTCATTAAAAACAATGTTTTAAAATTATAATTAGTAAAAATTTTGCTAAAAACATATTAACTTATTAAAACCTGCATCTTTTAATAAAATTTTTACTATTTCTGATTTTAAAACATTGTTTTTAATGAAATTTAGTATTTTACATTTAAAGCTTACATGGATAAGGACCCTTAAGAAAAGATTAAGATAGAAAATGAATGTGTGCAATAGAGTGTTAATATTATTAAAAGAATAAACAAACATTGAAATTTTTGATTTGCTTAGGATGAGTAGTTTGGTGAATTATTAACTAAAACTAGCTATATGATAGATAAAACGAGCAACTTGTAATACAAAATCATCTCTTAAGCCTCTAAGCTTTGAGCCCCTGGGTTAAATTGTACAAAAGTTTTCCTGTTACGCAGTTTTTCCTATTCAATAACATGGAGAAATGTTCCCCCCCCCCCTAAGAAAGCCTGCATCTGAATATTTGCAAAAAGCTGGGGCTCAAGCTCAGAGGGTTGATAATTTCAATTTTAATTGAAATATTGTTTTCAAATACAATTTCTTATCAATACTCACGAAAGAAAGTAGTCTTTCAGCAATTTTTTGAAATTTTTTCAAGTTTGTTTAACCATCAATGATGAAGTATTGGCATTATATAAAAATACTAGTCATTGTATAGAATGCCTAACGTGTTTTAGGCACATTATTAAATATGTTCAAGTATTATTGTATATGTTGCTTAGTCATTGAGTAGAATGTCTATAAGTTTATCATAAATTAGTCAATGAATGTCTTGGTAATCTGGTAAATATTCTTGGCAATCATTTCATATTTTGCTGGTTGAATTTAGGCAAGAATGCTTAATTTCATACATTGATGGTAACATTAGCATTTACAAAAATCTATGCACACTTTTTAAATATATGATGTTTGAAATTATTAATGAAAACTGGCCTGTCTCAGTCTATAGCTAGATGGTCTATTACCTTTTAAAGTCTGTACCAAAAATATATACTTTTGCAGATTATGTTAATAGAATAAGAGATGATACTTAATTGTATTTTGGTTAATAAAAAGCTATTATTATTAAAAAAAAATTTTATTTTAGAAAATACTTTCAAGCTGCCTATTATTATCTTGATGATCCTCTAGGTAACAGAGCTTCTCCACAGTTGTCTGAAACTTTTGGTAAGTTTTCAACCTTGTTTAATGACAAAGTTGACTGAAAGTGATAACTATATTTTTTAAATAACCATTCAAATTTTAATTATTTATTGTATGTACTTTAAAGAACAAGCTTTTTAGTATGTTTTACAGGATAAAATTCTGTAATTATAAAGTATATAAGTTGCTGTATCTTTTTGCTTTAGGTATGCAATTGTACTAGAAGAAATTGTTCATATCATAGAATCTAAGAGGTTTATTGAAAATCATGAAGGTTTAACATAAAAATCAATGAAGGTTTTAGGTTATATATTTTTTTTGTGTTATTTGTTTGAGTTCTCTAGCTATTGATTGAATACCTAGTTTGAACCCTGGGACCCTGAATGCTAAGGTAATAAGCATGAGGAGGAACTTGAACTTATTAATTTCTTATTGTTTGTTACAGTATTAACCAAAAATAAATATGCAGCAAGCTAGACTTTAAGCAGTTTTTTATAACTGTAAAGTATAGTTTGAGACCAAAATAAGGTTTAACAATTTTTGCTGTGAAGCACTATATTATCTTACAGAAAAATAAATTTAGCAGCAATAGCACAGCAAAATAACTGTGTTTTCTTGACTAGTGAACTATAAAATCTATCTACTAAAGAGCTGTACTAATGATACTAGAATGAATAATCTCTTTATTTTCCTATGAATTTTCAATTACTATTTAATATACTTGTATTTAATCAAGCAAGTACATATTACTTGCTTGATCAAAAAGATGGCATTCTTAATTATAGTCTGAATATGAAACTTGAAAAAACATTTATGTATTTTGTTTTGTAACAGATGATTCAGAATATACTGCTATTCCTGTGCCCCTTTGGCCAAAGCACGTTGCAGAACTGCATGCTGATGGTGATATAGGGTTTTCTAGAGAATATGAAGTAAGAACTCAATCTTTTTTCTATTAAGATTCTGTCAGTTCATATATTGGTTCTGTAAAATATTTTATATGCATGTAAAGGAAAAAATTTGTTATTGTTTAAATTGCACAATTTTTCAATGTTTTTTTTAAAAATATTTTATGAAGTTTTTATAAATTAATTTTGGTTAATATTTTTATTTCATGGAAACTACACAGTATAGTTTTATAACACTGACTTAATGTTGCCCGTAGATTTTAAATTTTGGCTTTTAGGCATCGAAAGTTCTGCATTTAGTACTTTTCAGATATTTTTAAAATTAATGTTATGCTTTGAGGTATATTTAGTCGCCTCAAATGTTTATTTTGGAATGATTTTTATCATAGTTTTGCTTCCAATCTGTCAATGTGATTTTTCTCTCAATTTTATTCTTTATTATTAATAAAGTGAATGAATAAATTCACTTATTACATTTTTTTAAATTTTCTGCCATTCTGTTCTAGAATAATCAGAATTAATTTTTTATAAATTTTATTTATTTTACTTTCATTTTGATCAAATTATATATTTTTTTCTTCACATTTTCACTTATTTACAATTCACTTATTACTTAATACAAATTTCTGAGGAGGTCAGTGAAATGCATAACTCCAACTTATTTGGTTATTTATAATAATATTTAATGAGTAATAGAGGTACTTAAGAATTATTTTTTACTCTGGTGAAGTTAAAGTTAGCTTTAACATATCAGCAAAAGCATTTATCACTGTATCAATGTCATCACTGATTCCTTTTTCCAGTTCCATAAAACTTTGATATTTCCTGATATATCCCTATGTGTTTTTAATGGAACTAATTTATATTATTTTTATCTTAGATAATGTTTTTTTAATCGAAATATTGAAATTTTTCTTAAAATAGCAAAAAAAGAAAAAAAAACTATTTGACAAAAGAATAATTATTAAGATGTGGAATTTTGAATTTACTCCTTTTACTTTTTTAAATGAAACTTTTATTCTAAACTTAATATGATTGGTTAATGGTTAAAAAAATGTAAAGGAAAATTATATTAATAAATTTATATTAAAAAAAAGCCCATTAGAATCGAGTAATGAGTTGAATAATTTTGAAATGTCACAAGTATTACTGTATATAT